TATTTAGATTTTTTTTTGCACCCTCAGATTCCAGATTTTCAAATAGTTGTATCTCGGCCAAATATTGTCCTATCCTAACAAACCATACATCAATGGAAAGCTTATTTATTCAGCTTTCGGATGATGTACAAGTCTCAATTTTGAAAAATTGACACTTAAGACTGGTTTTGTGGTCCAGGGTCACAAATATGGTTTAAACTGCCTTCGATGCTGCCTAGTATGCAATGCGTTTACAAGTGACACTTGAGAAGAAATGTCTTCTGTTAGTTCTCATCTGCAATGAAATGCAGCCATATTTTGCTTAGTGAATGTTCAATCTCCTAATTAGCAATTGCATTTCCTTTTGTCGGTTGTGACTTAGTAATTTAAAACCTATTATAATGATATTCGGCTAAGCACAAAGCTTTACTCACATTAATGGCCATGTGCTTTATGAGAGAAAATATTTAATTTCATTAAAGCCCTTTTATATTAAAAACTAGAAAATTAGCTTCTGTCCAGGGCCAAGCTTATAAACCAATTCAGAAATGACAGCTCCCCCTGCTGTCCATTGATTTTCTCCAGCTTTGACTCTCATATTTATTTAAATTTGAACAGTTGGCCTAATAAAAAAAAGTTACTATCGCCATCTTTGCCTAACATACATATTTCAATTCCTCAGAGTTGGTGTATGATGATGTGTTTGCTGTTTGGGAGGTCATCTGGGCTGCTAAGTGTGTCTCCTCCAGCCATTTTGGGCTCTTCATTGCTCTTGCATTGGTGGAAATATACAGAGACATCATTCTAGAAAACAATATGGACTTCACAGACATCATCAAGTTTTTCAATGGTAATTATATATTCATTATACACCCTGGTATGGTAACATAAATCTCAATGTCATAAACCTCTATTAAAAAAAATCATATAAAGACATCAGCATCAAGAATATAAGGTAGCAATATAACCTGCTCTTCACGAGCATTTCACATCTAAAGAAAAGAGGATTGTGTAACCAAAATCCAGCACCATAGTCAGCAGAGTACAAACGCAATTCAAATTAACAACCTGTTGCATCTCATGTTTATGGAGAACTGGTAGTGCCATTTAAAACTCAAATGAAGGAAACTAAACTGACAAACAAATAGACATTTAAATTCATTTAAAAATATTTTATTCATGTTCAAATGTAGTTAAATGCAACAGTAAATAATAAATTGATCAGTCATTTCAAATGTAACATTTACATTGCATTCTTAGAATTCTTAGTTTTCTTTATTTTCACTTAGATTTAAAATGATGCATCAATTTGTTTGTTACATTTAACTATTTTTAAAACAATACAATTCATTAATTTTAAATGTATGTATTAATTTTACAATTCATGAAGTGATTTATTTACATTTTTTAGTTACATTTCAATTAAAATGTACATTTTAGTTACATTTAGTTACATAGATGTTGAATCGAGTGTGATATTTTTTAGCTGCTCTTGGATGTACCCACAATTCAAATGTGGAGAAATTGCTTTAGGGCTATTTGATTGTTTATTTTAGATTTAGTTCTTGCTAAATAGTCTGGTCATTTGAATAAATGCATCCTCATATCATCCTTTGTTTTTCAGAAATGGCTGAGCATCACAATATCAAGCAAATTCTGACTCTGGCTCGAGACCTGGTTTGCAAAGTGCAGACGCTTATAGAGAACAAGTAACTCTGAAACCTCTCGCCTCTGTTGTTTAAATCATGTTCACAGTGTAACCCATCAGCCCTTGCTACAAAACAACAGGGAACATTTGGCCAAAGCTTAATGAGCTTCAAGCATACGGTAACATTTCCAACGCCAAACTTCTTGATCTACCTGCAATCAGTCAGTGTGCCATTTAAGAGAGTCATCTGGCTCTTTAATCAGGTTTTACTGAACATCATAGTACATAACATTTCATAAGCAGATGCTGCTAATGAGTGGTCATTCACTGTTTGACATGGAATGTTATCCTGTGTCTAAAATGCAGTCAGGATTACCAGTCACTAGTGACTCGTGTGCTCTGTTCCAAAACCTAGTGAGCTGCCTTGCTGTCTACTGCCTACATAAACGGAAAATTTGGACATCAGAAGTGACTGATTTGTTTCCAATTTAATTCCAGTAGAATTTGGTGTTAGTATGTTTGTTAATATAATGACACTCATACTGGACATAGCACACACACACACACACATTCTGGGTAGAATAGTCCGTTTAAATCAGATTTAAACTTTTATTGATACTTGTCGGTGAAAACAAGTATTTTTAAACATTTTCTTCATTCATGTGATGCTGCCTTAGAATGTGACCAATAGAACATATCTTAGAAAGCAGCATTATGTTGCAGATGTGTGCCTATGATGCCTTCAAATGCTGCCTATGTAGGCAGCTCACTAGGTTTTTAAACAGAGCAATAGTTCAGGAGTTCAGGTCAGGTGCATTTTATTGCTAAGAGACGCTCACACTAGATTTCATGCTCCATTTGATTTCACATATATGGAGTGCACATATGTACACTGCTGTTCAATAGTTTGGGATCAGTCTGTTTTTTTTGTTTTGTTGTTTTTTTAACGTTTTTGGAATTCTAATGCACACCAAGGCAGCATTTATTTGATTAAAAAAATACAGTAATAACAGTACTGTAAAAACAATATAGAACAACTTTTCTATTTTCATTTATTTTAAAATGTAATTTATTCCTGTGATGGCAAAACTGAATTTTCAGCATCATTACTCCAGTCTTCAGTATGGCATGGTACTTTAGAAGTCCAGAAACATTATCAACAATTATGCTGCTTAATATGTTTGTGGAAAATACTGATGAACATAATTTATTTGAAATATAAATCTTTTGTAACATTATAAATGTCTTTACTGTCAATTTTGATGCATTCAATTATTCCTTTGTGAATAACAGTATTCCTTTAAAAAAAAAAAAAAAAAGCTTACCTTAAAGCTGCAGTCCGTAACTTTTTTTGTGTTCAAAATTTATACAATAAGCGAGTACACCATGAATCCATTTTCCAAACCATGTTTTTGGCTTGTCCTGAATCACTACGGTACACCTATAATAAGTGTTTACGCTAGAGCGCCAAAAGTTACGGACCGCAGCTTTTAAATTACTTTTGAACAGTAGTGTATTCATAGATTTTCCATCATGTACTGCATACAAATTTAAATTAAAAAGACGTTTGATTTGTAATGCCATGGGAAACTGTAGTAGATAATATATATTATATTTAAACATTTCATTTGATTTATTATTTATTAAAAAACAGAAGCCTGAGAGTATGATATATGTTGTTACAGATATTTGTTGTGACATCTGAAATAAATAGGGATGATTTTACTTGCTTAAAATCTAGTGTGACCGCCTTCTTAAAGCTTCTGTATGACCTGCACACTTTATTAGTATTCTGATGTGCCACTTTTAATATGATGTAGATTGTAGCAGTAGAGGGCGCTGTGCTTTCAGTCGACTGACCTTCTGCATGTGTTTCTGTAACCTGCTTATTTCCGAGTCAGTGTGTTTACTGTGAGTTGTTTCACTGAATCAGATCAGGTTATTGTATCACACAGTATATTATTAGACAATACCAAGGAATGTCTCTAGGTATTAGATTTAGAACAGAGAAAAAATTGTGCGTAAATTTCTTCTCTTTGTGTTACAGAACTGAATAATGATTTGGGTTTTTCGTGGGTTTATGTCATGTTTGAGTCAGTACTGTGTTTCAGTGCATTGGTGTCATGTTTTCAGTCAGCCTATGAATACCTGGAATTAGGATTTATTTTTTAGATTTGATGTTTGTGTCGGAGTGTGTGTGTGTGTGTGTGGACCGGGACAGCTCACAATCACTACCACAAGGCCTTGTCTGCTTGATGTATTCTTGCTGTTTGTGGACTGTACAGAAAAATACGTGCTATATTTATTATATAGAGAGAATCTATATTATTAACTTTGGTGTCGTTGCCTACGTGGTTTTCAGAATGGACACTAATATTCACACAAAGAAATGAAAATCATCAGTGCTCTTATTTATTTTTCATTATGAAATTGTTGTACAAAATGTACATTGCGTTTCTTCATCCACACTAACCACACTCCTCTGCTATAGATCTAATATTATGTACCTTATAACATGTTGTAATCACAATGAAGTATTGATCCTATGATCAAACCAGTACAGCTACGGGTCTGAAACCTTTGGTGTATCCACAATGAGGTGCAATCGGAAAGTGTATCGAATCCCAAGTATCATTTTTCATGTGTCTGATCTGTAACACAAGGCTAAAACTGACCATTTAAGCAAGAATAGTAAAGCAGATCAAAATCAACGTGTATTCCAAACTTCTGTGAACACATGAATTTGCATCTAATCTACATAATTTATGTGGTCCGAAATGAGCAGGTGTTAATAATTCTGCTGCATTGAATGTTGTTGATTTCTTCATGTGCAAAATATATTCTAAGAAGAGAAAAAAAAAAACTCATTTATAATTTGTATGTGTTGTTACGTATTTATTTAAATCTGAATGTATGCATTTTGTCTGTTTTTATGTGAATGTTCTTGCTACACTGATCAATTACTACAAAGTGTTAAATTCTAAATATATATTAAATGGTAAATGTACTTATTTAAAAAACAAAATAAAATGGAATCGTTCTTATTTTTCCAACAAATATAATCATCATATTCCTGCTTCTGTAGGCAATGATTAAGTATGTGTGTGTGTGAGTGAGTGAGTGTGTGTGTGTGTGCATATATAAAAAATATATTTTATTTATAATTATATATATATTTTTTGTTCATGCAAGAGTATATTATATACAAAATCTGAGTTTCATTCCTTATATGTTATTAGAATTTATAGTGTTTTATATAAAAATATGTAATTTTTAATATAATTTTTTTATTAACATATAGATGTATAATTAGGTTAATTGCAAATATAACATATACAGTATATAGTCATACATAAATAGTCAAACGGTTGATTTTTGCATTGTCTGTGCCTGCCTACTTCTCAAAAAGGCAGATTAAAAATCATTCGCCCGAACAGGGACTTGAACCCTGGACCCTCAGATTAAAAGTCTGATGCTCTACCGACTGAGCTATCCGGGCTCTTGGCAGATATTTCCCACAGTTCTCTTTGAGAAGATAAGGCATGACCGTTTGAGAGAAAAAAAAATCTACTTCCGGAAAAGTATATCTTTTTTCATCTTCATTTTTGGTAGGACGCCTGTAGTTATGTGTCCTTCGCAATAGAGAAATCCTTATAATCTTAACTCTGTTCATTCATCTCGGCGCGCACAGCAACGTGACAAACTTTGGAACGTCATTTCAACATGTTTTGTAAATGTGCAGCGCGAGCTTCAAGGGCGCTGCGGCCTGCGCATCCTCGGTGTGGAGTATTAACGCTGCCCGCTCTAAGCAATACTGTATCGGGCAGCGGAACGTTCTGGTCACGGTGGACATGCAAACGGGAATCAAGTAACTCCGCCTGGAATTCCAAGGTAAAGCTTTCTTAATTTGCAGACGGTTGGGTTTGTTTTGAATAAATGTGTAAGATGTAAATTAACCCATCAATAGGTGAGCAAATGTTTTATGTTGAACATATAATGCAATGCTAATATAAATATTTCGCACATTGTTCAACTCTTCAGGTTCCTCAGGCACCCACATGGGAGCCCATTGCAGAAAATCAACTTCCACCGGTAAGGCCTCTTTCTGCACAAGCATTTATGCAGCTTATGCTGTCCTCATGAAATACAGGAATGTGTAGTAATAGCTGTGGGGTTATTGATGTGTAACCATAGGCTGCCACTAGAGGGAGCGAGAGGAACACTGATGTGCCAGTGAGTTATGTACATGTAATGTTGTTTCAGAGTTTTCAGAAAAAGCACGTAAATACAGTTCGAATTCAGTCTTTATTTACAAGACACGACAGTAGGGGACAATGGGGCAAAATGTGCACCCCTGACAATTTTGTCACCAAATATTTCTCCTTGCCTAGTTGACAACCTAAGCAAAAAGTGGCATGACTGGAGCATGGTAACAGAAGCCCTCATAAAGATAAAGCTTTACTTTGACATTTTTCACAATGTTTCTTGAATCTCGCAGTAGATGGCAGCAGAAAAACATAGTTCAGAAACTGAGCAGCACTCTACTGTAGTGATTATGTGAAAAGTTTTGCCCTAAACAGCGATTATATTCATTAATAATATTTTGTACATATTTCGTTTTGTTACATACATTATATATAATTATATATAAACATTCACAAACACACATTTACAATATAATTTTGCTTTGTGTATATATATATACAGTATATACTATATATATAAATATATATATATATATATATAGTACTTTAGTATTTTATTTTGTTTTTAAGAGTACTTGGCAATCAATCTCATTCTGATATAAAAATGAAGAATTTACGTTTTCCTAAAAGACATAACAATATAACCATGTTTCATTTTATTTGCAGCCAACAAGAGTCTCACCAGATTTAGTGGACAAATTGGAGAGATTAGCCCTTGTTGACTTTGGCAGTAAAGAAGGGGTGGACTGTCTGGAGAAAGCCATTAGATTCGCTGATCAGCTTCATGTCATTAATACTGATGGTGTGGAGCCGACGGATTCAGTTCTAGAGGACAGGTACTTAAGAATCCTGCTGATGCTCACATCAACTCATATAAGTTATGTGACAGTGTGCTAGTTGTTCTGGGTACCACTTCCAGTCAGTTTAGGGGTATCCATTGAATTAAGGCCTTTTTTGATGGTGTTTTCATTTGTTGACTGTTAATATTGTTTAAAAATATACTTATATTTGCTATATTTTCTCATTGCAAAATGGTGGTAGCTCTTCCCAGACACTCAAAGTATGTTTGCTCATAGTGTCAACATGTCACCATTTGATAGGAGCTAAACTTTTCCCTTGAACTTCCTGTTGTGTACAGAGAGCTGTATTTGAGAGATGATATGGTAACAGAGGGTGAATGTGCGGAGGAGCTGCTCCAGCTGGCCAAACACACAGTAGAGGAGTACTTTGTTGCACCTCCAGGTAAAAAACCCCCCCAAACTATTACTAAAAAGACAAGATGTTCTATGAGAACTTAAGAACAAATGAATCTCCATTCTAACATTTAGTATTGAGGTTTGTATTATTTATTGATTTAACCAGAGAAAGCCTGAACTAGAATTGAACTGCTTGCCCATCAGATTAGAACAAAGGTGTCTTGGTTAAATTTGCTTTGTACATTTTTTTTATAATTAATTGAATATGTGTACTACTTATGAATAATCAATCTTTCTTTTTTAATGCAGGGAACATCCCACTGCCTAAGAGAGAAGAGAGATCTGCTATGCTTAAACACTCTGAATTTTGACTGAAATGTAACATTGGATCTGACTTGCGTTATAATAAATATGTATTTTTATCTTGTGTATATTGTCTTGTAATGTTCCAAACATATTTAAGGAAATGGGTGATGCCTTTCTATCACTCATGGTCCCTTTATAGTGATAGATGAAATAAATAAAGCAAACACAAAAATTCACTTAAAGAAACAAATCTAAGAAATAGCCAACAAGAAGGACATGTTACAGAAAGTATCAAGTAATCATAATAATTTCATTAACAAAACAAATGTGAATGAACAGAATAATCAAAGCATTTTTGTTTTGATCAAATGTTTAGTTAGTATGCTTTATTTGCCTTTACAAAATGTGAGCGTGGGAAATTCCTTCATTCCAATAATCCCTGTTGTTCATAAAAGGCAATCAGAATTCTGTATATATATGTACATAATAATTCTGATTGTCTTTTATACATATATATATATATATATACTGTATATATATTGATGAATGTTTCGGGGTTTGGTTCTGATGTAACTGAACAAGCATGCGTCCTTGATTAAACTTTGCTGAACAATAATCTGCTGATCAGTGCTAGTCCTTCATCCGCGATCAAGTGGAATGGAAACAGAAAGTGACGTTGTGAAGTTTTCAGAAGCGAAACATTACTGTGCGTGGGCGGGGCTTACGTTGAGGCTTTAAATGCACACCTCCATCCAGAGACACCTTATCTAAGCTGGAGTGATTTACCTGACTTCAAACTGATTATTCGGCAGAAGA